AGATAGATAGATAGATAGATAGATAGATAGATAGATAGATAGATAGATAGATAGATAGATAGATAGATAGATAGATAGACAAAATAATAATGATACTTAAACTGGATTTGGGACAAAGGATGTTTCCTTTAACTTCACATTTTCTTGTTCAACCTTTTAAATCAGTCACTGCAGATGAGTGATTTGTCAGTTTCTGTAAGATTTCTGCAACTGGAGCAGATATTTCTGTTTACTGGTTAAATTCCTCAGCTGTCTCACATTTTAAGGGTGAGTCCTACTCCATGTTTCAGCTCCGTTCATAGATCAGATCTCATAGAATAACACTTCTAAAGAGCAAATTTTGTTTTTAGCGTTTGTTTTGGGCCATTATCTCATCATAGGACTCGTGATCTTTAATTGAGACCAGACTTTTTGACAAATAGGAGCAGGTTTCGCTTCAGATGCTTCATATTTCAGTGTGCCCAGACCACACTCAAGCCAACCTGTGTCAGGTGCAGCCTACAACCAAGAACTAAAGAGAATCTTCTTGTGTTTGACAGCAGATCTAACGCTGGTTCTTAGAAACCTTCAGTTTTAAAAAAGAGCTCACGTAACTTACCTAAAGAGCCAAAAAAATACAACTAGCCAATCAGTGTTTGCTCTCCACAAACGCCTATTCTTCAGAAATGCCCACTTTTGGTCTGCAGAGAACCCCTTCTCGTAGAAACACATACTGCCATTTAAAAACTTTCTTCTTCAGAGACAGTGCTAAACCACATGAAAAACTACAGCCATTTCATGAAGATGTGACAGGAAGTGACAAAATAAGTTGCAGCTGAAATAGAAAAACAAGATCAGAGGGAAAAAAAAAGAAAACAGTTAGCTTTTAAAATTGTTATAGCTATTCCCAAACATAAGAGTGGTTTAAAAAAATAAAAAATAATGTCACGCATGTAAAATATGTTGCAATATTTTGTGTTATTTGCAATAAATTTAAAGTCAGCAAGCATTTTTGAAAAAACTCTATTTAAAAATTAATGCAGTTTCTGTTGTTTTGTTTTTTTTTTGTGTGTTTTTTTTTTTGTTTTTTGCTGTGATTATTAATTATTGTGATTATGTTAATGTGTGTGCACCTTTAGCAAAATATCTCATAAACCAACTGACAGATTTTTCTGAAACTCTCAGAAATGAATCATTAGCTGTTCACCTTCAACTCAATAACTTTCAGAGTCAACCTCATTAAAGATGGCTGCCACACCTAAGTGACATTAACAAAGACGATAATGACTAAACCTCAACCATCTTTACAGTTACTGAGCTCAAATGTGCTGTGGTTGTAGCTCATTCCTTACAAACGCTGGACTTATTGACAAAAATGTGTACGCAAATTAAATTATTTATAAAAATTTTTGCATTTGCATTGTCTTAACAGCTAAAATAGCAGCCCAACTTATTTAGAAGTTGGGGAATAAAAAGCACTTCTCTTTCATTTCCAATTGTAATTTCATGTTAATTACTAACCAATTACCACCAGAAACCCTTAAAGTGTCTCATGCCCAGTCATCAAATTAAATCCCAGTATGTGCTTAGTTTAAATGAGAGTGTGTGTTTGCTACAGAAAGTCAACTAAGGACGGAAGTGTTTGAAAGACAGGAAGTGTTTCATTATTAGGACCAGCACGTCACTGCACCGTTAGTGAGGTCATAATGAAAAGGGGGGGGGGGGGGGGG